AAGACCAGCAGGTAGGTCTGGCCCCGGCTCCTGTCAGATTACTCTTCTTTCCCTGCGTCCCAGTGCACGTGGGATTTTGTGTGCACCGTTTATGAGTGTAGCCTCCACTTCCCCCAGTGCGGCTGCAGTTAAGCCCAACGGGCCTTCAAAGCCCACATGTACTGGGGATCATGCTCCCGATGCTGGACTCCCCTGGCTGGGGAGCCTGATGTGTGGCTCTCACTCTTGTGGGAGAACCTCTGAAAAATAATTATTCTCCAGCTTGTGGTCACCCACCAAGGAGGGATGGAATTTGCTTTTATAACAGGTCTGCCCCTCTGACCCCTCTCATTTTGGTCCCTTCTTTATGTCTTATTTGTGGAAGATCTTTCTGGGAGGTTCTGGTCTTTTCCAGAAACCAAAGGCTGTTCTGCAGATGGCTGTGATTTTGGCGTGCTCTGAGAGCAGTTGTGCTCAGGGTCTGTCTGCTCCACCGTCTTGGCCTGGGTTCAGTTTGCTAATGTTTTGTTGAGTTATTTGCTTCTCTGTTCATAAGGAGTATTGATTTGTAAGTTTCTTTTTTAGTGGTGCCTTTGTCTGGTTTTGGTATCAGGGCAATGGTGGCCACATAGAACGTTTAGGATGTGTTCCTTCCACCTTTTGTTTTATAAGCTTGAGAATGATAGATATGACATACGTGGATATTTGGTAGAATTGATCAGTAAAGCCGTCTGGTCCTGATCTTTTCTTTGTTGGGAGATTTTTAATCTCCTTACTAGCAATTTTTCTATTCAGTTTTTCTATTTCTTCATGATTGGTCTTGAAATATTGTATGTTTCTAGGAATTTATTCAGTTCTTCCAGGTTGTCCAATTTTTTTCAGAATATAGTTGGTTGTAGTAGTCTCATGAGCCTTTGTATTTCTGTGGTATTAGTTGTTACTTCTCCTTTGCTATTTTTGATTTCCTTCATTTGAGCTTTCTCTCTTTTTTCGTCTTGGTGAGTGTAACTAAAGCTTTGTCAGTGTTGCTTGTCTTTAAAAAACCCCAGCTCTTCGTTTCCTTTACCTTTTCCATTGTCTTTTAGTCTCTATTTCATTTGTTTCTGATCTGATTTTTCTTACTTTCTTCCTTCTACTAGCTTTGGGCTTTCTATACTGTTTTTGATACATATCCATTAACTGAATATATCTGTGCTTCACTGGTATTTATTGTGGAGTATTTTGTATGGCTATATCTAGTGCACTCATCCATTCAATTATTAATGAACATTTAGGTTGTTTTTGTTTGGGTTATTATGAAAAACGCTTCTAATCAACACTTATGTCCAAATCTTTCTGTGGACCTATGTTTTCATTTCTCTTGGGCAAATATCTAGGAGTGGAATTGCTAAGTCTTATATTAATTGTACTATTCAATTTATCACAAAATTTCAAACTGCTTTCTAAAACAGTTATAAAATTGTACATTCCAGCCATCTGTGTATAGCAGGGACAGCTGTTCCTCATCCTCACCCTTTTGTTATTGCCTGTCTTTTTCATTTTTGTCATTTCAGCACGTGCTGGTGTCTTACTGTGTTTTCACTTTGTATTTCCATAATGACTATATTGGACAGTGTTTTGTGTTTATTATTGGATATTCATATGTCTCCTTTTCAAATTGAAAAAATACCTTGCATATTTTATTCAGGTTGTTTGTTTTTTCATTATGTAGTTACAGGAATTCTTAATATAACCTGTATACAACCCCTTTGCCATAGTTTTTCACAGTATGTTTTGTATTTTGTTAATAATGTGTTTCAAAGAGTTTTGAATTGGATGAAGTCTAGTGTATCAAGTTTTTCTCTTTTGTGTATTATGTACTTGTGTTTTATCTATCCTAAGGTTGTGACTCTTTCTCATAAGCATTCTTATAGAAGTTTACTGGTTTTAGTTTTTGTATTTATGTGTATATGTATGATCCATTTTGAGTAATTTCTGTTCACTTTGTAAGTTAAGGATCAAAGTATGTTTTTCTCCATGTAGATAGCCAGTTGTTCTAGCCCCATTTGTTGAAAACTGTCCTTTTCTTATTGTATTACCTGGGTATCCTTATTGAAAAGCAATTCATCACTTACTGTGCATTGTGTTCCATTGACCCGTATGTCTATCCTTACCAATACCAGCTCTTCTTAACACCAACACAAAATCAAGTAAAACTGTGTCTTCGTATTTTTTGTACTTTGTTTTCAAGACAGATTTTTCTGTTTTAAGTTGTTGCATTTCCGTGTAAAATATTAAATCAACTTTTCCATTTCTGCTCTCCCCCCCTCAATAAAAAGCTCAGCTGGAATTTTGATTGGGACTTTTTTGAATATATAGATGACTATGTGCAGAATTGACATAGTCATAATGTTGTGATTTGCAAACAATAAACATGGTACATTGTTCCATTTATTTAGGTGTCTTTAATTACTTAAATTTAACCCTAAGTATTTCATGGTTTTGGAGGTATTGTACGTATTTTAAAATCTCAATTTATAGTGTTCTGTGTAGGCATATAGAGGTACAACTCAATCATGAAAGTTGTTGATCCCTCCTATAGTCAGCTTATCATTACTTTGCGTGACTGATTTCTGTTTTGGAAAATACCTTCAAGAGGTCTAAGTAAAAGTTATCAACTATCCCAATGAATATATGAAAAAAAGAGTATGCTTCTGGAGTTTATTTCAGACAGAGAAACATTTCAATATGTGTCAACATATAACATGGAATTAACAAAGAGATAAAAATTATATGATATTAAATATTGAGACATTTAATAAAAGTTTGGGCAATTAGGAGTGAGAGAATGTCTTTTTGGCTTCTCAGATTTCTCCGTAATAGAGCACAGCTCCCTCTTTTGCAAAGTTCTGGCTTCTAGTCCGGTGAAGAGATTCCCATCCCAAACTATGTGTGATTAAGTCAATTTCTAAGCCCAGAATTTCGTCTGGATTTCCATTATACATTGAGAATTGTCAAACCATGCTCTGCACTATAGCTTCTCTGATTCTCGCCTTTGGAATTTTGCCTTCATGTTACTGATTCTTGCTTTCTCTCTCCAGTATTAATATTTAGTATGTGTTCAATACTCTGTAGTTTTTCAGTAAAATATATTGTGAAGCATGACACAGTCTTTTTAACTTTGAAACGTTTTATAGTAGTAAAATTTTAGTACACTTTAATAGTAACTAACTTTGCAGCTATTATAGCTGCAAGCATTGTATCTAATATTACATAAGTTGCTAAATGATAATCCATGTAGTAGAAAAGATTTGGTACAAATTATTATATTAGAAATGCAACTGGTAAGTACACTGTTTGGGAAAAAAGATTCATGATTAAGTTTCTCTCACAACAGGACTACTCAAAACATTTAATGTAAAATAAAAACAAATACATGTATATAGTACTAACATATATAAGAAACATAAATACATGTATATACACATAATGTACACTCATATTTACTGAGGTTAGGATGGAGGAAAGTTTCATCCATAAACTCAAAGATCAAAACCGTTAAAAAAAAGATGGTTTTAAGATTAAAGTTTTCCATTTTATAATATCACAATACCAAAAAAAAATGACCAAAACAAAAATACTACCAAAACAATCATAAGTTATCATAACAAATTATAAAATATTGTAACATTTATTAGTGGCTGAGAGTTACTATCATTAATACAAAAGTGCTTACAAATGAAGGAACCAAACAAAGAAATACCAAAAGAAATATAGGCACAGAATTAGAAAATTAACCAGAATGTGCAGATATGTGAAATATTCAGCACATTAATAATAAATTTAATAAAACTGAATTACATAAACAGTCATCTGTGTGTACCCAATTTACTAATTTTTAAATGTTGCTATCAGGCTGTGAAACATCACTTCTGCATTAAATAGATAACTGTGGAGGAAGAAGGAAGTGAGAGTATATTATAAAGAGCCCTTAATAGTTTTAATCTCTGTGACCTATTCACTTACAGAATTAACCTTTAATGTGAAATCTTAGAGCTGAAAAATGACAGAAATATTCTTTGCAATGTTATTGAAATTCATGAAAGGGTGTTGTAATTTAGAAACTTCTACTTTGTCACATCTATAAATTATGTATTCTTAAAATGTATGTTGAGAGGAATTAATAAGACAAAAATACTTATGAAATAATAAGTGAAAAATAAATCTAAAAATTTACAGCTCATACATTTATGAACACAAAGAACGTTTGAAGAAATCGCATTACCTTTTAACAGTTCAAATTCCTGAGCATGGAATCATGAATAATTTCATTACCTTCTTTTTTTCCTGTATCACAGTGTATTAACTCTAACAAAGTGGTGTTCAAGATCAATCCAGAGGTAAAAATCATACTGTGATTGTAATTAGCTTAGAAATATACTATAGTATATTGTGACAATAAATGTTGTGACAGTAAATAAAATTATTTATTTGATTGAAAATTCCGATTATTTAACATGTTTATATTTGGTTTTAGCATTGCAGTCATATAAAATGCTGTGATCCTGTAAATTGTGCTCTGAAGCCAATGGCAACGTGTGGTACTGGACCATGCTGTGACAAAAAAACTTGTCATGTAAGTTTTTGAAATACTGCATTATTTTCTTCCATGAAATTTTTGTAGGTTTGTGAGTTCATTTTGGGGGGCTTTTTAACCACTTTTTTTTCCCCACGTCTTTCATTCTGTTAGTTTATGCTCTGATTCATGCACAGTTGATTTCAGAATTGAATGGTGGTCCTTAGGTCTCTTTCAACCCCCTTTTTTAACTCCACCTCTCACTGTGTTCTTTCAGTCTCTGCTCAAGACCCACCGCGTTGTTGCATTCAGTAGCAATTCCAGGTGTTTGCATGCTAGGGCCTCCTCTCGGTAGTGCCTGAAAGGTAGCTCTTCACGGTCAAACAACTTTTGATAAAATTAGGAATAAGCATCCCAACACACACTTAATATGCAATATTTGAATAAAGAGACAATAGGAATGAAAAAAATCTCATACTGAAAGTAGCAGAAAAGGAATCCGTGTAGAAGAGTCAGCAATATGTAGCGTGTCTACTACTGAAGGTGAACTTTGACAAAGCCCTGCAGGTGGACTGACTGAATCCTTGTCTTCCCTTGGGAAGTTTTCCATCCGGGTTTCCTTTGTAGCCACATCTGATAGGAGACTGGTAACGAGCGCTGTTCCAGGGTTTGCTGCATTTTAGCGACTGCCCTTTTTGGTGTCGCTTTCAGGAGTCTGTGAAAAACATAGAAGCTGATTAATGAGAGGTTTTGACGGTCAGATTCGGTTTTTTCTCTGTCGGTGAATCTCTGGTAACATTACTTTGTTCTGTGAGTGTTCTCTTTTCTTCTCTGGGCTAGGTTTTAAAGCCACAGGTCCTTTTCCTTGAAGGCACGAGTACAGAGACCAGCTAGGGTTTACACTTCTTTGTGGTAACTCTCCTTGGTCTTTCCTTCACCAGAGCTCTCATCTCAGTCTTTGTCTCCAAATCAGTGGGACTGAGCAATCAGTAAGGCTTTTTCTAAGCAATCCATTGCCCTTTCCCCACATCACAAAGAATAGTTCATTAAATGGAGATAATCACAACAGTTGATGGAATGAAAATTCATAGCATTAGTTGCTAGGGAGGGTTTCAGGGTAGCAGCTAAATGTACTGTGTTAGTTTGCATTAACTTCATTATGTGTTGCAGCAGAAAATTTGGCCTGTGTCGGCACTTAAAGGCTCACAGGTGCCTTACGCTCTTGCTGTCATTTGTTCATTCTTGGTCTTAGTGTAAAGGCTTTCTGTTTCCTTCTGTGTCTACTTTCAGTTAGGCCAGTTTCCACTGATGTTTGTGGGAAGTTTAATGATTTGATCCAGTTTTTTTCCTTTATATTTTTAATTTAGATATACACAAGTCCAAGTGCAAAGACATGGAAGATCAATAATTAAACCAGCTGTTCTTCTGACAGATAACAGTGATGAACATGTTTTTAGCCAGTACTCAGACATTCCTGTATGCAATTTAAGAAACTGTGATTGGTACCTTCAGTTCTGTCTTCATAATGAGAAGCCAAGCAAAGAATAACAAACAGACGGTTGTGAAGCTTACGTAGGAGAAGAGTTTAGCTTCGTGCTCAGTTGAATATTTGTAAAACAGAAACAGCAGGATCTTAACCCTGTAGATTTGCTGGGTATGCTTGCCTTTGTGTGGGCCGTTCTTACGCTTTTTTCTGTGTGCGGTACAGGTAGCTCATTGCAGTTCTAGGCTTTTTGAGGCCGTGGTGTACAATATTCCAGAAGAACAGAGGGATCCTCTCTTTCCCAACATCCATGCCATCCCTGGTAGTGAAGGAAACTGCAACCCACCCCTACACTCTATGTTAAATTTCCCACCACTGTGTCTAGGGAGCAGTGTTCCGATTATCATCCTGAGTCAAAAGCAGAGTGTGGACCGAAATAAACGCACAGCCTAAAAGATGAGAGTTATGTTTTATTTGGTGGACATTTCAGAGGACTCGAATCCCTTCATTCCTGGGATGACAGCCTCTCAGATGGTGCTGAGGGACTGCTCCGAAGAGGTAGGGGAGGAACTAGGATATATAGGAGTTTTACAAGAAAGACCAGGTTGTCATAACATTAAAAAATTACTTGTTAACTGAAGAAAACGAGACATCTCACATTGAAGAATTTAGTGCTTTTCTGTGTATGAGAGGGAGCAAACATTTGGGCTCATTGAAATCGTTTTTCTAAAAAGCATCTAGCTACCTCTAGGGTGTTTTATTTTGTCCTTTATTATTGTGAGTCCGCCCAGAGTGCACCATTATGAGTGGGTGCAGAGACTGGGCTGCAGGCTTGTCTTCACTGGGGGGTGGTGGCAGTGGCTGATGACTTGATGGCTTCAACATTCTTTGTTTACTGATATTGCTTGCAATATTTTTTGTTCATGAGAGTCATGTGATTTGTAAACTTCTCATGGTGGAAGTGGAGCAGGTCCTAAAAGGAAAATTGACATGCAAAAGTAATTCAAGATGTACGTTTAGAAACATTTTAGAAATACAGGAAAGACTGGCATCTGAGTCCGTTACAGGATTTCAGGAGTGCGGTTAATTAGAAGAAGCAAAAGTTGAAGAACAAATGCAGGTAGCTTTATATCAGATATTTTCTGTTTATCTGGAAGTAAATATTCAGGGTAAGCCCAGCATTTGAAGTATGAGAACTTTCACTAGAGCCATTTTTCAAATTGAGGTGAAAAGCGTTTTCAAGTGACTAACCATTTTCAAGTGACGAATTGAGTGGTTTCACGGTGTTGTGCAGCTGCCAGCTCTGCCTCGTCCCATACCAGGGTCATCCCCCAAACAGGAGAGCCCCGACGCCTGAAGCACTTGCTCTCCTTTTGTTACTGAATTGCACAGGAGCCCCCCACTTTGGGGGCCCTAGCTGAAACCAGAGTCCTCTTGCCTCCATCAAGGAGTTCTCTCCTGCTCAGGTACTTGCTGCCAATAATGAAAGTGAGTTTGGTGACCTTTGTGTCTGGTTTTCCTCACTTAATACAGTGTTTTCAGGTTTCCTCCACCTTGTAGCATATATCAGTACTCCATTCCTGTAAATGGTCCAGAACATTCTACTGTGTGCATGTGCCACAATTTGTTTATCCATTCATCCACTGATGAACATTTGGGTTCTTCCTGCTCTATTTCACCGGACTTTTATGTGAATTCATAATTTAACTTTAAATACTTACAGAGGTAATAGTAATGGAAATGATAGTTACAAATACAATGCTCCTATTTAAATTTTTTATGTTTTGTTCTACTACTTTGAAAACGAATCTTGGTTTTTCTTTGTCTCACAGGTATTTTCAAGAGGAAAATTATGTAGAAAAAGCACAGATCTGTGTGATTTTCCAGAATATTGCAATGGCAGATCTGAGTTCTGTGTACCTGACGTGAAAGCTGCTGATTTAGAACTGTGTAATAATAAGACTGCCTATTGTTTCGAAGGAACATGTCGTGACCCTGATCAGCAGTGTGCACAGTTGTTTGGAAAATGTAATAGTTCTGTCTTTCTTTTTGAGGTTTATATTTATACTGTATTTTTTCCTAAAGTTAGTAACCCACCCTATAGCCATAATCATAATTCTTGCTTAATCTAAATTTGAAAATAAAATTGCAAATCAAAGCAATGTTGAATTATGTCAAGAAGTAAAAAAGACCTTGTAAGTATAGGACAAAGAGAATAGAATATAATTCAAATTTCAGGTGATTGGTGACAAGGAAGTAGAATGTTAGAGTTATAGATAATTGAGCAAATGACTGTTTTAGTTCTTAATCATTTCTGCACTATAATAACAATTTTCCTATTCTCAAGTGGGGACTTTCTAGTAAATGTTTCTCCTTCATGTATACCAGTGGTGACAGCAAAAATTTAGAGTAGATGACACTGACTCGGCTTTGTTAGATGTCTCTATACCAATTTACCATACGTTTAGTTTTTTAATGTTTTTTTTTAAGATGAGTAATTGCAACTTTATATTTCCAGTTGCAAAAGCAGGCACTGATATATGTATGCAAGAAGTGAATATGCACGCAGACAATTTTGGAAACTGTAACGCTGCATTTTGTCCTCTTGGGTGTGTATTTAGAAAAATATACATTTTCCTAATGCAATGTATGTGTATGTGTGTGTACTGCAAAGAATCACTCAGTACAAATGAGGGACGACTATAGTATATAAAGACAAATCTACATGTTGCCCTTTGTAAGATGGTGTATGTTCTGAATAGCTTTGGTGTTATGATCTGAATAACAGTTTGAATTATCCTCACATTTTGCATTGTTATTATGTAATTTATTTTGTGGCTAAATGACATAAGGGTAATTTTTTCTGTCTTGAATCATAGGCATGTCTTATGTGGAAAGTTAGTTTGTACCTGGACACGAACAGAAGTAGTGCCATTTAAAAATTTTGATACTCAATATGCTTATGTTGACGGCCTTGTGTGTATATCTGCAAGTCTGAGAAATCTGACACCAGTGTTACTGCCAGTGGATTATACCTATGTATTGAATGGCACTATGTGTGGTCCAAATCGGGTAAATGAAAACTTTTCTTAATTCTATATATCGTGTGTGAGTGTCTTAGTGTCTGTGTGTGTGTGTGTGTGTGTGAGAGAGAGAGAGCGAGACAGACCTTAAGATTTTTTTATTCGTAATTGTTAAAATTTTGGTTACTCCATCACGAACATAAGCCTTAAAGGTCAAAAATTTTGTTGGTTAAAGAAACACTTGCTTTAACTATCTGTCATGTTTTATTATGAATTTTACTCTCGATATTTAAAGTTGTTTCCTCACGCTTGAGTATCTTACTTAGCCTCTTCACTAGGCCAGGATCAGGTCTGCAATAATTTGTGTAAAAAAATAAGAAAAAAGAATGAAATAATACACCCAAAAAGTAGGTCAAAACAGCCTGAATGGTAAGAACAACAAAGACGATTATTTTAGCTAAGGTGAAAGTAAAACATTTATTTGCTCATTAGCTTACTTTCCCTAATTCTTTTTCCAAAACCCTAATATATCTGTTAAAAATTCGCCCTTTCTTAGGTCACAAAAGAGAGTAAGCTTTATTTGTTTGTATTTTTCTTAAACATTTGAAGAAACCTTAATAGAAGGCTTTAAACTTGTCCCATTGAAAATTTAGCTGAGTAATGTAAAACAATACACAGTTAATTCACATTTAAATTTAAATTATTTACCTTGAGAAATAATATTTTAAGAAATGAAAAATAAGAGGAAAATAGAAGTGAAGAGTAAAATTGAATGGGAAAAGATATTCTTACCTAAACATAATAATCACAACGGAACATACTGGTGCTGATTACATTTTAAAATAATATTGTTAGCCCTTCAAAGATAATTTAAATCAAATGGCAAATAGTTTTCTATAAATATGGCAGAGTAAAGAAATACATTTATTGTCTAATTTCATCATTCATTAATTGGAAAAAAGCACGATAGTGGCTTATACACATGGCGTAACACCGAAAAAATAATTTTGTCTCCGTCCCTAGTTTTTGGCACAGAGCTTCTACACCTCTTGGGATTTCCTGACTGATAAGAATGGTTTTTTGTCATTCATAATGAGCCCTTTCCAATCAAACTGAATTTATGCTAACGAGGTAATAGGGTACGGCCTCTAGATGGCTTCAGGATAGAGCTGGTCACCAGAAAGACCAAGTAATTAGAGATGCGGAACTTTTAGTTCCATTCACAACTTCCATAAGGGGAGTGGTGTGGCTGGAGACTGAACTATATAAAAACTTTTCAACAGTGAGGTTCAGGGAACTTCTAAGTTGTTGAAATAAAAATGAATATCCAACAACTGTTTTTGTCTATCAGTTGGAAATTGAAAAGAATAATTGATGACGAGAAGTGTAACTTACAGTCATACTAAAACAAATATAAATTAGCGCATACTTTCTGGAGAGTGATTTAGAAATATGTAAGAAGTCAAATATATTATACCTTTCTATGGATTTTAAACATTTATTATTATTACTTTTTGAGATCTTACTGAAACATAACATTATATCAACTCCACTTGTACAACATAATGATTCAATATTTATATATTTCAAAATGGTCACCACAATAAGTGTAATTAATATGTCACTATATATAGTTACAATTTTTTTCTTATGAGAAATTTAAGGTTACTCTCTTGTCAAGTTTCAAATATGGAATAAAATATTATCAGCTATAGTCACCATCCTATACTATACACTGGAAATCTCCCAGACTTTACAACTGGAAGTTTGTACCTTTTGACGCCCTTCACCCATTTTGCTCAACCCCCAAATGCCACCTCTGGCAGCCACCAGTCTGTTCCCTGTATCTGTGAGCTTCGAGTTTTCTTGGTTTTGGTTTTATTCTTTCTGGGATTCCACATATAAGTGAGATCATACAGTATTTATTTGCCTTTCTGTCTGACTTGTTTCATTTAGCATAATGCTCTCAAGGTCCATCGACATTGTCAAAACTGGCACGATTTCAGTTTGTGTGGCTGAATAGTATTCTATTGTGTATATAGATTACATTTTCTTTACTCAGTTCATCCGCTGATGGACACGAGTTGCTTCCACATCTTGGCAATTATAAATAATGCTGAAATCAACATGAAGGTGTGGATATATTTTTGAGTTAGTGTTTTCATTTTCTTCAGATAAATACCCACAAGTGAGATTGCTGGGTCATGTGGTACTTCCATTTGTAATTTTTTTGGATGAAACTCCATACTGCTTTTTATATTGGCTGCACCAACTTACATTCCCACCAACAGAAACTAAACTTCCCTTTCCTCTAGTTCTAAGCCAGCACTTACTCCTTGTCTTTGTGATAATAGCCATTCTACTGTCTTAGAAGAACAGGAGAAACAATTTAAGGATAGAAAAGTATTTGAGGAGATAATGTCTGGAAAATTTCCAAATCTATCAAAAGGTATAAACCTACAAATGCAAAAAGCTGAAAATACATTATATAGAATGAACCCAGTGAAATCCATAGTAGGATGCAGTATAATAAAATTTCTGAAAGACAAGGACAAATAAAAATAATCTTAAAATCAATGAAAGTGAAATAATTTTATGTACTGGATAAACACAATTACAATGACAACAATTGCAATAAAACCATAGGGAACTAGACATACAAATGCCATAGAGGATTGCCATGCCAGTTAATTAGCCTTCTCTCATCCCACATGACACTTGAGTTCAGCAAGTGTCCTGTGGAAAAATGAGCCATTTATTTAAAAGAGCTCTGGTTTCTCCCATCAGCCCTGTGTGACCACGACAAGCTTTACAGGTTACTCATGTCTCCTACGTGATTCTCTGCCTGGAAAAGTCCGATCATTAGACCCTGCCCAACTGGGCAATGTCCCCATGGATGGAAAAGAAAACAGAAAGGAGAGGGGAGGAAATGGAAGGGGATGGAAGGGAAAGGAAGGAAAGGGAGGAGAAGGGAAGGGAAGGAGACAGGAAGAAAGGAAGACAAAGACTTTGACTTTTCCTGATCATGTCAGTAGGAGCTTTAAGCTGGCAATGATGTTTTGATCCCACACCCTTTTTAAAATACAAATCCTAATTGGCAGCTCTCTCTGTGTGACTGGGCCTGTCACATGACAGCCTTTATTTTGGAGGCTGGCTTTTAGGCCACAGGCCTAACTACTGGTACTTGCAGTAGTTTAATTGGATAGAGGATACATGACTGGAGACGCCCGGATTCTGTAGTCACCATTAATTCAGTTGCTTTAGGAGACAAAATACCCTTCTAAATTGTCTCCCTTGGGATCAAAGCATTGTGTTGACTGTTCTGAAACTGGGGGAAAGGGAGAGGTGAGTAGTGAATCTGGAGAGCTGACGAGCTGCGTGGTTTTGTGGACAGACCTCCACTGGCCTTTCCGCATGGTGGCCACCCTGTCCGGTCTTGCCCTTTCAGCTCTCCTTCCTGCTTTTCCTGAGGACTTGGGGGCTCCAGCCCCTCCAGAGCCTTGTGAGCTGATCCGCTAGGCTCTCTCCTTTGCCACTGTGTCCCCTGTTCCTTTCTCACTTCACTTCATCCAACACTGGCCTTCATTTTATTTCAGAATCCCAGGAAGTTCTTAAACCTCTTATGTTTTGGTTGTCTCTTTCTGACTTTCCTCTACTCTCATTTATTGGGAAGAAAGGGGGCTTAAAATTGTGTGGGCCAGGTCTGTGAATTTCAATCACTCTAGTTATTTTAAAAATTCATCAAGGTTATACTTTATTTTCATTTGTTATTTTACAGTGTTCAGTTGTTTTCAGAGAGGTTAGAAAGGAAAGGCTTCTTTACCGTGTCCTCATTAAATGTGATTCCTGTGTAAAAATCAACCTGTTGATTGATAGATAAGAAATAAAAGAGAAAGAGAGAAATGGAACTATTTGGGGTTTTTTTTAGCATTTTTTTATTGAGGTGTAGTCATCTTATAATGTGTCAAATTCCAGTGTGAAGCACAATTTTTCAGTTATACATGAACATACATACATGCGTTGTCATATTTTTTTTCACTGTGAGCTACCACAAGATCTTGTATATATTTCCCTGTGCTATACAGTATAATCTTGTTTATCTATTCTACACTTCGAAATCCCAGTCTGTCCCTTCCCAACCCCTGCCCCCTTGGCAACCACAAGTTTGTATTCTATGTCTGTGAGTCTGTTTCTGTTTAGTATTTATGTTCCTTTTTTTTTTAAGATTCCACATATGAGCGATCTCATGTGGTATTTTTCTTTCTCTTTCTGGCTTACTTCACTTAGAATGACATTCTCCAGGAGCATCCATGTTGCTGCAAATGGCGTTATATTATCGGTTTTTATGGCTGAACAGTATTCCACTGTATAAATATACCACTTCTTCTTTATCCCAGTCATCCATTGATGGACATTTAGGCTGTCTCCATGTCTTGGCTATTGTAAATAGTGCTGCTATGAACATTGGGGTGCAGGTGTCATCTTGAAGTAGGGTTCCTTCTGGATATATGCCCAGGAGCGAGATTCCTGGGTCATATGGTAAGTTTATTCCTAGTCTTTTGAGGAATCTCCACACTGTTTTCCACAGTGGCTGCACCAAACTGCATTCCCACCAGCAGTGTAGGAGGGTTCCCTTTTCTCCATAGCCTCTCCAGCATTCGTCATTTGTGGACCACTTCTGAATGATGGTCATTCTGACTGGTGTGAGCTGACCCCTTATTGTAGTTTTGCTTTGCATTTCTCGGATAATTAGTGATATTGAGCATTTTTTCATGTGTCTATTGATCATTTGTATTTCTTCCTTGGAGAATTGCTTGTTTAGGTCTTCTGCCCATTTTTGGATTGGGTTGTTCGGTTGTTTCTTATTAAGTTGTATGAGCTGCTTATGTATTCTGGAAATCAAGCCTTTGTCGGTTTCATTTGCAAAATTTTTCTCCCATTCCATAGGTTGTCGTTTTGTTTTACTTATAGTTTCCTTTGCTGTGCAGAAGCTTGTAAGTTTCATTAGGTCTCATGTGTTTATTCTTGGTTTTATTTCTATTGCTTGGGTATTGTCCTCTGAAAACATTTTTGAGATGTATGTCAGATAATGTTTTGCCTATATGTTCTTCTAGGTGGTTTATTGTATCTTGTCTTATGTTTAAGTCTTTGATCCATTTTGAGTTTATTTTTATGTATGGTCTGAGGGAGTGTTCTAGCTTCACTGATTTACATGCTGCTGTTCAGTTTTCCCAACACCATTTGCTAAAGAGACTGTCTTTATTCCATTGTATATTCTTGCCTCCTTTGTTGAAGATTAGTTGACCAAAAGTTTGTGGGTTCATTTCTGGGCTCTCTATTCTGTTCCATTGGTCCATAAGTCTGTTTTTGTACCAATACCATGCTGTCTTGATGACTGTAGCTGTATAGTATTGTCTGAAGTCTGGGAGAGTTATTCCTCCAGCCTCTTTCTTTTTCTTCAGTAATGTTTTAGCAATTCTAGGTCTTTTGTGGTTCCATATAAATTTTATTATGATTTGTTCTAGTTCTGTGAAATATGTCCTGGGTAATATGATAGGAATTGCATTAAATCTGTAGATTGCCTTGGGCAGTGTGACCATTTTAACCCTATTGATTCTTCCAATCCAGGAGCATGGGATATCTCTCCACTTTTTAAAAGTCTTCTTTAATTTGCTTAATCAGCATTTTATAGTTTTCCCTGTATAAGTCTTTCACCTCCTTGGTTAGATTTATTCCTAGGTATTTTATTACTTTGGGTGCTATTTTAAAGGGGATTGTTTCTTTACTTTCTTTTTCTGTTGATTTATCGTTAGTGTAAAGAAATGCAACTGATTTTTGAACGTTAATCCTGTAACCTGCTACCTTGCTGAGTTCTTTGATTATTTTTAGTAGTTTTAGGGTTTTCTATGTATACTATCATGTCATCTTCATATAGTGACACTTTCACCTCTTCTTTTCCAATTTGGATCCCTTTTATTTCTCTCTCTTGCCTGATGGCTGTGGCTAGGACTTCCAAGACTATGTTGAACAGGAGTGGTGATAGTGGGCAGCTTTGTCTTGTCCCAGATTTTAGTGGGAAGCTTTTGAGTTTTTCACCGTTGAGTACTATGCTGGCTGTAGGTTTGTCGTATATAGTTTTTATTATGTTGAGATATGATCCCTCTGTCCCCACTTTGGTGAGAGTTTTTATTACAAATGGGTGTTGAATTTTCGCAAATGCGTCTCTGCATTTATTGAGATGATCGTATGGTTTTTATCCTTTTTCTTGTTGATGTGATGTATTACATTGATTGATTTGCATATATTGAACCACCCTTGTGTCCCTGGGATGAACCCCACTTGGTCATGATGTATAATCTTTTTTATGTGCTGTTGGATTCTATTTGCTAAAATTTTGGTAAGGAGTTTTGCGTCTATGTTCATCAGTGATATTGGTCTGTAATTCTCTTTTTTGGTGGTGTCTTTACCTGGTTTTGGTATCACGGTGATGGTGGCTTCATAGAATGAGTTTAGGAGTATTCCCTCCTTTTCAATCTTCTGAAAGAGTTTGAGAAGGACTGTTATGAGTTCTTCTTTGTATGTTTGGTAGAATTCCCCGCTGAAGCCATCCTGTCCTGGACTTTTATTTGTAGGGAGGTTTTTTTTGCTGATTTGATTTCATTTCTAGTGATCAGTTTCTTCAACTGGTCAGTTTCTTT